TGTATGCAACTAAATTTTATATTGTTTATGGATTCATTATTCTTTTAAAGATAAGCTTTTAATTATGCAATTGGTATTTTTTAGACACCCTTTTTAACATGAGCAGTTCTTTGGAGTTTTGATGATCTTATTATTTTTTGCACAGTAAACGCAGCTTGTCATGAAAATAAGGCAAATCAGAATTAAAAAAAGGAGATTTTTCCATCTTTCAAACATGAGCAGTTCTTTGTAGTTTTGTTGTTCGGCATTCGGCCAAACGGCACTCGTCCAAATGACCCGGAACCATGTTGTCCTATAGTGCGTATACCCTTATCAGTGTTAGCAATATCATGAATCAAATGATATTTTTCTGCTCTCATACGCTCTCAATATCACGCCTGACATTGAAAAAAATATTATGCTTTATATTGATTTTACAAGCTCCTTTTATATTGCGAGACAATTCACAACGCGCAAGAAACATGATTCCGTTGCACATCGTTTTCTTAGAAAGAGAAAGTATAGTTTGCTATCTCTTTTTACTGTTCACCGATGGCAGACACGAAGTGACTGCTGCTAGCCGTTATGGAAGTTTCGTTTGCGTTCGGGTGTAAAGCTAAAATCATGAAACTCAATCTCACCACAGTTTGTTGAGATTTGCATCTAGTGATTTTGTTAGCTTGATATTCCGAGCTGCGATATCACAGCTTGCAATATCAACCGTAGTTGTTTGCTTGTTGATTTTTGTCTACAAAAATCAAACGTGATCTTGGGCATTGGTGAGATTTGATTTTTTGATATTTTCCCAACACTGACCGTTATTAAATAAAACCAAATATACTATATTAACAATATAGTTCACTCTTCGATTTTTCGAGGGGACAAAAACCAAAGAAAATTGGACGTAGATGCTTGTTCACTTTGACTGATTCATGGAATACTTTTCGTTTCAAATTTAGCTAATATCAAAACAGCACATATTCGTCACTGACAACATTGTCGCATGGTTTCCTCTGAAGCTATTTGAACTAGAACTGAACTAGAACAATCTGCTATGCGATCCATTAAATCACATGAGCTATCATAGACCCGATTAATGGCTTTCATATCAAATATCGTTGGTCACACTGTTGACCCACAAGCCTGGAAGCACATACTGGAAGCCTAATGTGGGTTAAGGAATGCATGATAAATGTTAAGGAAAACACAATATCTTAAACATAGATCACGAGATCCTTCCAGCAAATCCAATTTTAGAAAATCATGGTACTTGCATCTTTAGATCTTAGTCATAGAAGAAATCCAAAGATCGCTATTTTGACAAAATGGTAAGATGCCCTAGCTTGAAAAAAAACCAAATAAAATGTGACTATTTTGCATCCACGCACTTGGTATTGCACTTAGTATTTTGTATCCATGAGAGATGCGTACGTATTCGAATACAATATGCAGTCATTATCAGTGTCATTTCTACTAAATACTTATTCCTCTAATCTAACTCTAAAAGGTATCCATTCCCTTAATAAGCTTTCGTATAAAAATAAAATATTAACGTGCAGAATCGAAACCCACCAAATAACCCAAGATTCGTGTAAAGAAGGAAAATATAAACAACTCTTAAACAAGGAAAACTCCCCAAGGATTGGTAACCATCACATTGAAGGATAGGGAATTGGGGTGTTAGTGGAATACTCATAAGAGCAAACAATTTATTATTTTCCATTTAACATCTTTGTGTATTTCGAATTTTAATTATGATGTCTACCAAGCCTTGCAAATTCTCAGGCTAAAAAACTTTTCAATATTTTGGGGCTGAGTAAAAAGTTTTAACCATGGAAAAAAACACAGTTCGACATATTTTTTTTTATAATTCAGGCTAAGCAGAAAATTAATATTGTGAACTTAAAAAACAAAAAATCAGAATTCCTAACCATATTTTTCAGAAACCCGAACTAGAGGAACTGTCCAAGATTCTGAGACCTTTTTTCAGATCTTGGATTTAGAATAATGTTTAGAGATCTCGGTTTTACAGTAATTTTCAAGATTCTATTAGCTTTTTGCCAATTTGGCATTTTTATGGCAGTTTTTTGCCATTTTATTTAGTACCATGTTGGCCTTTCAATTCCAGTTAATTTTTATTTCAAATGTAATTTTGATGTTTGTAGGCGAAAAAGAAAGTTGTAAGGTGATTCCTTGTAGCGTCCTTTTAGGCTTTTTATTGCGGAGAAGCAAACAATGTCTGAAATTAACAGATTTCTATACCTCGTAAATTTTGAGATTTGTGCACTTGGAATTGCGTGTTAAGAAAATTAACTCTCCAAGGAAACACCAAGGTTAGCGGCGCCGGTGGTGTAGTGGTAAGCGTGATTACCTCTCAATCCCAGTCGGCATCGCCGGGATGTTCTAAGGACATAACATCTCTGATCCCGCCTTTTTTTCGGAAGGGAAGTAAAGCCGTTGGTCCCCGGTTCATGAGTTGATGGGTCGATAGATAGGGTCCAGGTGTGGGAGCTGCCTCCCTGGCGTCGGTAGCATTGGTGCTCAGCACGGAAAACAAGATCGACGGAAAACAAATCAAGAAAAAAAAGAAACCCCAAGGTTATTTAAATTGTATTAAAACAACTTTGACAGTGTCAGAGGTTTAAGGCCATTTTGGTGTATTAAAGTAATTTTCAGTAATTTAAAATATTCAAATTTTAAATAGACATAAATGCAAACAATTTCTTAAAACTTGTCAATCGTTTTATAGCACCAACATCGTTTTAAGATATCCGAAAAATCAAAATCTTGGCAAGATTCCAAAAATGGCCAAACACATTGTCCATTTTTTGGAATTTTGCAAGGATTTTGAATGTTTGCAGATGCTATTTAAACGATTGAGAAGTTTTAAGATGTTTTTCGTTTACGTTGATTTTAGTATGTATTTAAATATTAATACTATAATGTAAGTTTTAAGGTTGATTTGTTGTATCCATGGCTGTTTTGGAAATTTCGTTTATGTGATTTAAACAGATAATTTTTAATTCGGCATTGGTTTTTGCTATTTTCATATCTGTGATATATGTATAGCGATTTTGAAAATTATTTATTTGGAAACGTTCAATGACAGGAAGTTTATGTAGCCATTATTTATATTTCATAGCTGTACCAAATAACTAAATTCAACTTTGGGACTGATAACTAGCAGTTTGCTCGAATTTAGATGGTATGATTTTTTGTCGAGGGATATAATTTGGGGAGGAGCTTGAGAATGAGGTTTCTGGGTCCAATTCGAAAAGGAAAGCAAAAACAGAATCTGCTCATAAATTTTTGACGTATCAAAAAGTTTATGCAGTGTTCACTCGGCTGTCGGCAGAATAAGACCACTCTCAATGTGTATCACGCGATCATCTGTTCACTCGGCAGCAACCATTGTTTGGTCCTCCTTATTGTTCTTCATCAGCAGTTCTTTCAGTCGATGCGTCGTCGACTTTGGAAAGCAACCGTTTCGTGATGAATGTGTGAGTGCTGACCACGTTTTGCGTCCATTGCTGCAATGGAAGCGCTCTGACCCCCGTTGGCGAATCTGCCATACCATGAAACCACAGGAAGCGGTTCCCGTTCTGGTGGAGGAGGCTTATTGGAAAGCGGAAGATAAAGTGTTTATTGCGTTGTACCTTTTGAGTATAGTTTTAAGATGTATTGTATAGTGAACAAGAATCCTCGGCTCTGCAAAGTTAATTCGGTTGACCCTTATCAAATAAATTAAAAAAAAAAAAAAAAAGTTTATGATGCAAAAAGTGCAGTTTTTGATTATTACTGGTAGCTCTGTTTCTTATTCGGAGCAGTTTTTGGCAGTTCTACGTTCTTTAAGGATATTGTGCAAACATATGGGAAGTTCTGCGAACCTTAAATAATTTTTGCTATATTTAGTGATGTTCTGCGAACTTAATAGACGTTTTACAAACTCTAGAGACGTTACAAACTGCCTTATGAATTTTAGGGAAGCCCTACAAACTTCAAGAAAGTCTTACGAGCTTCAGTGAAATCCTACGAACTTCAGGAAAGTCATATAATCGTCAGGGAAGCCCTACGAACTTCAAGGAAGTACTATAAACTTCAGGGAAGTTTTTCATACTTCAAGCAAATCGTATGATCTTAAGGTAAGTCCAATGAATTTAGGGAAATCATACAAACTTTTGGGAAGTCATATGAACCTCCGAACTTTTGAAAAGTACTACAAAGTATGGGAAAGTACTTAAAACTTCAAGAAAGTTCTACGAAATTCAAGGAAGAACCAAGAACTCCAGAGAAGTTCTACGAACTTCAGGGAAGTCCTACAAAATTCAGAGAAAGCTTAAGAACTTCAGGGAAATCTAATGAGATTCAGAGGAGTGCTATCAACTTTAGGGAAGTTTTACGATCATCAGGGATTAAGGAGGTTCTGCAAACTTCTAAAAAGTTGTAAAGTTTCTCTGGAGTTCCCAAAACTTTTCCAGAGCATCCTGGACATGTCCGGAGTATTTTGAAGGAAGAACTTCTACTGAGTTTCAATAACATTGAGCTTTGTAGATCTTCTCAGGAGAAGAAATTCTGAGAGCCGTGGAGAAGTTCTGGGAACTTTGGAACATAACTGGAAGCTTCGTAAAAATCAACGTCGAAGAATCGTTATGTTTTGGCAATTTTTTTTAACTGATCTTGGCGTAAATAACGTTATTATTAACAAGCATGCCTTTAAGCTGCATACAATAATACCGGCTTATGTAATGTTTGGTGTAAATTAATATGAATTATCGTGTAGATTTATTGCAAATCTATCAAACTGGAATAACAAAAAATCACAAATTCTGACTCAGAGACCTCCAACCACTAGAACCGATACAAAACTATTTGTTTGTACTGAATCTCTCATAAATATATAAAATCATAGAATAAGCGTGTATGACTAAGTCCTTCGAAATGCACTTACACCCAATTCGAGTTACGCAATTCGACAAAGGAATCCCCCCAAATAGGTACGTTACAGCTGAAAAGCGACTCACCTGCGTAGTGACTGATCGGTTCGATTGGCCCCTGCAGCTTATACTCTGACAGATACTCGTCCAGTTCCGCTTCCAGGTCTTTATGATTCATCGGTGAGCCAACCGAGGAGGACGAGGACAGCTGTGAGGATGAGGCGTGAAGTCGGTGATGGTGCAACATTGACGACCAGACTCTTTGGTGGTGGTAAACCAAATAAATGGGGGGAGGGAAGGAAACAAAAGAGTGCGCTACCGACTACTTCACGCGCCCACTGCTTCCGATGGGGGCTGTCCAGAGGAAAGGTTAATGGGTCGCACAGTTTCCTATTAATCACCACCGCGAAAGATGCTGCATTGCTGCGCGTAAACACTTGTTTCCTCACAAATTTCACTGAGCCACTTTGAATAACTTCCGTTTTCTTTGTGTGGCTTCGGTAGACTCCGGGAGAAGGGGAATATTATTCTCGTGCGTTTTATTATTTCATAACACTTCAATGAGGCAATTTCGCTTTCATTTCTTTGGCATTGACGGTCGGTTTCTTGGGGAAGATGGGCTGTTGATGTTGAGGTAGGATTGTGATAGTGATCCGTTGTTGGGTTGCTCTAGCTCTGTGAGCTGTTTTCGGCCGGGAAGCTCATTGGATCGTGTCTTCTTCGCCGGTTTTGAAGAGTAATTGCTTCACGAGCTTAATCTGGAAGAAGGAAGAAACGCAAATAAGACGAGGTTAATAGATGGGTTGTATGAAATAGTAAGAAGAAAGAGCGTAAAAGTATCAATTGAGCGCTGCGGGTACTTAAATGTGGAAATAATACGGCTGAGTATTGTGTTTAAATTGTCGAAATGATGAATTTGGTTACTGCACCCCCAGATAAATATAGCTAATTTTACTTTCAAAGGGGTTCCATGTGGATTCAAGTTTTCTCAATAGTGGGGAAGTCTAATTTTTCATACAATTCGTTCCAAATAATGGGTCCGGATTAGTGGTGGCAAGAGTAAAGCGACCGACCATAAAGTACTTTAGCGCTGTCATACAGCATTAGGCTTAGAAAGCTCTCAATTAACAACTGTGAATATGATCAAAGAACAGTTGAAAGCAGACATAAGTTATCCGGTATAAATGAATACATTTATTTCTAAAGCTTAGCATTATAGAGACAACATACCGGGTAGAGGGGAATAGCAAAACCAGAGTAAAATAATATAAAATTTAACTTTCAATTTTATTTATGTAATGTTTGGTGTAAATTATCAAAATTATTATGTTACTGGTAAGTTGTACGATATAACAAGATAATAGCTTATTCTGCTATCAAAGCAAAATTTGCTATTTTTATGATATTTTGGTATTATGAATTAAAGAGCTAATTTTGATCTGATAGCAGAATAAACTCTATGTCAATTGATTAATTTAAACAACATACCAAACAGTTTGATGAGATATAATACCAAAATGTGATATTGATTTGCTATATTTTTTTGTTATTCTTTAGATATGGAACCAACTTAGTTAGCTATTACTCAGTTATGGTTCCTTAGATTTGTTTACAATGTTTTTACCTATTATATCAATCAGACTAATAGCAATTTTGGATGTTTTTTTCCCCAATTTTGATAGTAAAAATTGCTATTGATTTGATATTTTCGTCTACTCGGGATATCAGAAAATCATACCAAAAAGCAGCATGTCAAATATCATTCTATAAACAAAATCTGATATTTGCCTACCATAAAAACTTCTCAACTTAAGTATTTTGATAAGATTTCATATTGCTTAAGGTGAATTGCTGTGGAAACCTTATTTCTGATAATCTCATTATCACCTCGAAATTTAAAAAGTACAAATATTAGCTATCTCAAAGCATTCAACAATGAAACTAGCATTCATCGTTTCAATTTCATATCATCATCAATTTCATATCATTTGTGCTTTAAAAGACTTGAATGATAGGGCATATTATCATTATGGATGTTTTTTTTCCCTTGATTTGTTTTCCGTCGATCTTGTTTTCAGTGCTGAGCACCAATGCTACCGACGCCAGGGAGGCAGCTCCCACACCTGGACCCTACATATCGACCCATCCACTCATGAACCGGGGACCAACAGCTTTATTTTACGTGATCAGAGATGTTATGCCTCAGAACATCCTGGCGGCACCGACTGGGATTGAACCCAGGCCTGCTGGGATGAGAGGCAATCACGATTACCACTACATCACCGGCGCCGCTGTCATAATGGATGTTATTTTTAATTATTCAGGAATCACTTTAATTTGGTGTTGGAACGATATTATGGGAACATATATTTGGTATTATTCCTCACCTCTTATATCATGCTTAACAATATCAGCTTTTAATCTCAAGATCATAATTTGGTATAATTGAGTGGTTTTTTTTTGCAGCAGACAATTATTTTTCAAAATATTTAACATATCAGAGTATACAGAATTAAAAATATTCAAAGGTTTGCTAAAATTTAACCTAGGGACCGTGGGAAGAATCTTTCATTTTGCATTTACTACCTACTCACTCACACGCATACAACATAAGAAACGTGCAGTAGCTTTGTTGATTTCGTTCGTATTCTCTTTGCTTCTATTTTCTTCGTTGATGACCTGTGCTGGTTCATAATGCAAAAAAGTCTGAAGGCTTCACGCAAATACTGTAAAACTGCTGTGGTCAATTCAACTGTTTAAATCACTGAGCCAAACAAATATCTCACTTGGCTATTTAAATCGTCAGAATTCGGATTTTCCGCTTTAAATCGGGTTCTCCCTCGTCGGAGAAAATTGTTCAGCTGCCTTTCAGTTTATCCTTCGTTGCTTCTTCAGCTGGCAGTCTGGCCATCGCATCAATCGTTATTTGTTTTAATTGTATTATTTCAGAATTTTAGCAGTCGATGCATTATCTTCTTCTTTTTGGTTTTTTACATTCACAGTGGAATTAATTCCTGCTCTCAACTTAATAGCTGTGAATTTTCTGTGTCTACCAATACATGAATATGTTAATTGTGAGTCACAGTTCGTACAACAACAATGTCATCAGCTTTTCACATATGATGACTAAATTGAGAGAACAGTGTCAATCATTTTGTTGATTTGATAGCTGTTTTGGGCATTTGGGACACCTTAGTTCTATAAAATAACATAAATACATATCCACCAATATATTAGGACTAGTAAAATATCAACGATTGAGACACCAGATCAAAAATATAAGAGCTTTCCTTCTATATGTTAGCTGGAAAATTGTCGCTCAGTTTGACAATCGTGTTCCATATTCTCTAATTCATCTCTTCAATTCATCAGGTATGTTCTTATCCATTAATGTATGAGTGCCCTCATTCATTAATGTATGAGATAAGGAGGTTACGTTTGACTAGTACTGTCGCATTAATTGACTTCTCGACGCAACATCTAGCGCAGCCCTGTAAAATCGGTTTGTTTATTATGTTCAACCACGAAATCAGCTGTCAAAGTGTTCGACTTGACAGCGGTTTGTTTTTTATTTTCAAACAGTAAAATGCATGTATTAGTGAAACTTCTCACTAATACTAACGGCGGTAGAGAACTCTATGGCCTTTCGCTATATTTCAACTTCTATTCAATTTTCATGCTGCCGTACTCTAGCGGAACTATCAACCTATTTTCCTCAGTACTTTCTCTAGTTAATAAATTATCACACTAAAGCTTTATATATATTAGAATAGCATTTCCAACCATCTCTGAAAATCGTAAACTTCACGTATGAAGTAACAAAAAACACAAAAAGCAAAGAGAACAAAACAAAAGTACGGAAACAGACCTATCGTATGCTACAAGTGATTTGTTTTTTTGGGATGCCGAGAACATTGGTCAGCCAATGAACTTAGATTCACGGATTTGTTTTATTAAATACAGTAACTAACTGATTAACTGACATATTAACAACCCATTATTCTTCATAAGCATCATTGAGCTTTTAAGTTGAAAATCGCTTTATTGTAGGTGAATCTAGTTATTTTTAAGCTTTTAAAATGTATCCCGGGATCCTGGGATTTCCCGGGATTCCAAAATGTAAAAACCCAAAAATACGGAAAACACACCTACCATTTAGAAGCTTCATGTTTAGCAGTTTGGTAAAAACGATAATTAATCATTTAAGATATTTTTCCATGTTTTAAACATGAGCAATTCTTTCGACTTCTATTCATTTCGTGAATTAGGCATGATTTAAACATAAAAGCTGCTCACGATAATACCAATCTTGGCTTAGACTTTAGCTGACTAAATCCTTTAGAAGAGGTTTTCTTCATTTCAAATTATTATTCGGGGCTGAACAGCACTCGACTCTCCGACAAATTCTCTCCGGTTATTTTTTTTTTGTGCACTCTGCGGCAGCGTGGACCGGCGCTAAAACCCTACTATTGATATGCAGCACCTTACTCAATTTGCCACCAAAAATACGGAAAGGAAAGAAAATTGCTCAATTGTCCCTGAAACTTTCACAAAGTTCCTTCATCTTTACTTATTGAAAATTTACTCAACTTCTATGAAGGTCCATTAATTTCTTCCAAGTTTCATTATTATTATTTTTCCTTTGGTTTGTTTTCCGTCGTTTTTCATGTTGAGCACCAATGCTACCGACGCCAGGGAGGCAGCACCCACTCCTGGAGCCTACCTATCAACCCATCAACTCATGAACCGGGGACCAATGGCTGTACTTCCCTTCCCGAAGGAAGGCGTGATCAAGGATGTTATGCCTCAGAACATCCCGGCGGCGCCGTATGGGATTGAACCCAGGCCTGCTGGGATGAGAGGTAATCACGCTTACTACTACACCAGCAGCGCCGCTAATTCCATAATTATTATTTTTATAAATTCTCTCAATTCGTGCAAGATCTTAGAACATCTATGCGCTTCTCCAAAGTTTAGAAATGATCCTGAACCTTTGCTATGAATTTCGAAACAATGAACCCAAAACTTCCAATAAGTACTTAGGTCAAACCCTAAAGTTTTAAACACTTTTTTGACTTTAAGAGATCTATATTTCTTGAATATGTGTGGTTTACATGTATGAATTTTCAAGTGACACAGATGCGTCTTTTCAACTTTAGTACATTTGAGATTTTAATTATTATTTACAGTTCCTAGTCCTATCATGCCTGTTTTAGAGAATGACCACCTTGGTGGGATTGGTTTGTTTTAAATTGAAAAAGGAAACTACTTATAACTACTATTTACAACTACAACTAACCTACAACTACTATATACACCTAATCTACTATATACAAATTGCTTATCAAAGCATGTTCTGATAAATTACATTTTTGTGCAAATTTAGTTTAATTTCGTTAATTCTGGAATCTATTTAAGCAATGCCTGCCTCTTCGTGTAAATTTGTTATTCTAGTGTCGAAGGGACGATCCAGAACCATCCTCAGCACTCTATTCTGAGCGACCTGAATTTTGTTCCTGTGAGTCTGTGCACATGATTCCCACACCGGAGCTGCGTAGAGGATCGCAGGTACTATGATTTGTTTGTAGACAGTCAGTTTGTTCACCCTTGAGAGGCGGGATCTGCGGCAAATCAGCGGATAGAGACACCTAACCAAAGCAGAACACTTGACTACTGTTTTCTCTACATGCGAACGGAAAAGGAGCTTTTCAACAACATCCCGAGATAGGTTACTTCGGCAGACCACTCAACCCTTGTG